AAGACCAGTCAAGAAAGAGAATGCAAGCTCAGGGTGGATCACAAAGTCACCACACACACTGAGCACAAGCAAAGAGCCACAAGGCCAGTTCACATGCAGAGGCATATATGCAACACAAATATCTCAGTGATATCTACCTAGAAATGCAAGCATGCAGAGATATATATATACATCACAATACAGGCAAGTCTACAGCAAGTGAGGAAAAGTGGGCACAAGCCCTAACAAAGTGCAGAAGCGCTAATGATCACCAGACTGAAGTGCCTTGGTGAATATATCAGCAGTGTTGGCCTGAGTGGCCACGTAACGCAGACGAAGCTGACCACGCTGCTGCAACTCTCGAGCCAAGAAGTAACATAGAGCGATGTGCTTCGTTCTGTGCTCCAGTCTGTGCTCCTCACACAAGGCAATGGCAGCCTTGTTGTCGACATACAACACTGGAGGAGAACGAGGCCGCTCTCCCAGGTCGGTCAGCAGGTAGGTGAGCCAGCGTAACTCCTGTGCAGCCATGGCTGTGGCGTAGATCTCAGCCTCACAACTCGAGCTGAGAACTGAAGACGAACGAGTAGAACGCCATGAAACTGAGCCAGAGCCAAGGCTGAAGGTGTAACCCTGTGACGACCGCAGAGTAGCCTAGTCGTCAACCCAAGAAGCGTCTGAGTGCCCAGTGAGAACAACTAAGCTCCCTCCTCCAAGCACAAGCCCCATGCCCGATGTACTGCACAAGTAGCGCAATACCCTCTTTGCAGCATCCCACTGCACCTTTCGGTGCCTACTAGGAGCCACTTAGCGGGCCAGAAGGCCAAGAGGGTACGCTAGGTCAGGACGAGTGCAAGTCATCAGGTACATGAGGCAACCAACTAGCTCTGGGTAAGGACCACTCGGCTCTACGGACTCATCCGAAGGCAGAGCTAAGAGCGAGTGACCTGTAGCCAAAGGAGTGGCTTGTGTTGAGGACTAGGTGAAGCCGAAGCGCTGAAGGACCTGTTGCACCATGTGTGACTGAGTCAGTGTGATGGTGCGGCGTGCTTTGTCCCGGGTGATCTGCAAGCCAAGGTAGCTGCGCAGTTCACCCAGGTCTGTGCACGTGTGTCTCTCTGTAGCTCCAACTTCACGTGGGCGACAGCCTCAGTGTCAGCAGTGGCAAAGACCAAGTCGTCGACGTACACGAGGATGTAGAACGGTGGCAGAGAAGTGTCGGTGCACAGAAACAGCGACGGGTCAGCAGTAGAAGGCGCGAACCCAAGTGTCGCAAGTGTAGTCCTCAGTGTGTCATGCCACTCGCGTGGCGCCTGGTGGAGACCGTAGACCAGCCGCCGGAGGCTCCACTGGGTACCAGGAGGGAACGATCCAGTGAAGCCAGGAGGGCGGCGCAGCCAGATCTCCTCGTGCAGGCTGCCCTGCAAGAAAGCTGTACTGAAGTCAAGAGAGTGAAGCTCGTACTCACGCTGAGCAGCAACGTGCAGTAGCACCCGAAGAGTGGTCATCTTCGGGGTGGGGGAGAAGGTCTGGAAGAAGTCTACTCCCTCTCGCTGACTGAAGCCCTCGAGCAACGTAACGAGCCTTGAAGACAGGCGGAGAACCCGGCGGCCGCTTCACCCTGAAAATCCACATGCCACTGACGATGTTCGCCTCAAGAGGGAGAACCTCGTCAACGTAAGTGCCAGTGGACTTCCAGGATGCCATCTCTACGTCCATGGCTGACTGCCACTTAGAGGAGTACTCACCCGCGATCGCCTTAGCGTAAGAGCGCGGGGTCGGGATGTCTGGAGCATCCGGGGTCTCCATCAGGGGCAATCAGCATGGACACGAGATGAGGCGCAGCGGCTGCAAGGACATCCGTGCCTAGAGCACAATCACCCCCGACGGACGGAGGAACAGACAGACTCAGACTCAGCAACAAGACTCGTGGCGTAGTCTAGACGACAGTGAGCAGCAAAGTCGACAAGCTCAGCAGCTAGGGCAGACGCAGTAGTAGACTCAAAGGAAGGGTCAGTGACAGCAGTGGCCAGGAGACGCGTGACAGTAGGACTGGCAGCACGAAGAGAGTCAGACTTCGGGTCAGCAAGAACAGGAAAAGAGGACGCAGGAGGAGACGGCAGAGGGACACACAGTGGAGCAGTGGAAGGACGCAGAGTCATATAGTGTGTGCCAGGGATAGGTGGAGAACGCTCACGCGGAACACGGCGACCAGTGCGAGCAGCACGATCAGGTGACACAGGACGAGACACAGGCGACACAGGATGAGGCTCAGGCTCACGACGCTCTGTAAGACTGCCTGTCGGACCAGTGTAGGGAGAAGGACTAGGAAGTGGCGAGGTAGGCGGTAGCTGCAACTGCGACTGGACAGGCGGAGGACACTCTAAGGAGGGAGGAGGACTAGGAGGAGGCGGCTTGACCAAGAACCAGCTGAAGGAGCGGAACGAAGTACGGCACGGTCGTTAAGTGCCCCAAGAAGCAGTAGAGACAGCACCAGAACCTCCAGCCGAACAGCACCAGCAGCACCTCCAGCAGCTCAAGTAGCACCTCCAGCAGCTCCAGAAACCTTTAGCAGCACCTCCAGCAGCTCCAGAATCTTCAGCAGCACCAGCAGCACCTCCAGCAGCTCCAAAACCTCCAGCAGCTCCAAAACCTCCAGCAGCACCAGCAGCACGTCCAGTAGCTCCAGGACCTCCAGCAGCACCAGTACCTCCAGCAGCAGCAAGGGCCTCCAGCTGGCGGTACCTCAACACCAGGAGCTCCACTCCTGAGGCTTGCAGCGCCGAGCGTACCACTCATGTAGCCGCTGAGGGGAGGGAGGCTCCGGCTGCGACACTGCACCGCAGGGCCACCAGCCCCGACTCCAGCAGACCCTCAGCTCCAGTAGCCCCACGACGGAGGCTGTAACGCTGGGAGTACCACCCACGCAGCTGCTGTGAAGAGGGAGTGCCAAGAGGCTCAGTACGGTCAGTCTCAGAACCTCCAGCCTTAGCTCCTCTAGGCTCAGCACCCCCAGTCGCAGCACCCCCAGGCTCAACACCCGCTGTCTCCGCACCCCCAGACTCAGCACCCCCAGTCTCCGCACCCCCAGGCTCAGCACCCCCAGTCTCAGTACCCGCAGACCCAGCACCACCAGGCCTCAGCACGCTCAGCACCTCGCGCAGGACCAGAGGTCAACAGCTACCTTGACAGGCTCGACCGGGTCTACCTGGGAAACACCTGAGGGAGCAGCACCCTGGGGAGGGAGGGGGTCTACCGACGGGACACATGGGGTGAGGAAGAGCGGCGGGGGGGGGGAGCAGGGCAATGCGGTAGGGGAAGAGACAGTAAAAGGGTACCGACTCGTCAAAGGTGACGTCATGAGAGGCGAAGACCCAGCGCGAGGTGGGGTGGTAAACTGCCAGCCAGGCGCGTCAGGGACAAAGCCAAGGAAGACACAGGAACGGCACGAGAGGAGAGCTTGTCCGCTGACGTATCGCGGACAAAGGCTCGACATCCCCAGACTCGGAACACCGACGCATCGCCAACCTCCCCCGTCAAACGTAGGGTAGGCAAGGACTCCGGAATAGAGACACGGGGCCAGAGGTTGAGTTGATGCGCGGCGTACTGCACTGCAAACGGCCACAGGAAATGGGGGGCAGCCGCATGGATCATGGAGGTACGAGCGACCTCCATGACGAGACCAATGCGGCGCTCAGCAACCCCATTCTGCTGCGGAGAGGCCAGAAGAGTGAACGTCTGGCGGATGTCCGTGCTCCGCACAGTAGGCTGCCAAGAGGTCAGAAGAAAGCTCGCACCTCTGTCAGAGTATAGACGTAGGACAGGATAGTCCGACTGGAACCGCTCGCGGAGTTGGAGACGAGCAGCGCGGATCCAGGGAATCAAGACATCAGGGACCTCACCCTTGGTATGCAAGGGGAAGACCGTGGTGTAGCGCGTGTAGTCGTCGACGATCAGCAGAAAGTATCGCTCGTGGCCCTGTCCCCGGACGCGAGCGGGGCCCCACACGTCCAGGTGGAGAGTCTGCAGGGTAGCCTCCGTGGGAAGGAACGAGGAAGAGTGAGGAGTGGCGCGCTGCCGCCCCTCGACACAGGGAAGACAGGGAGGAGCAGGCGAGGGTGGGAGGGGAGGGAGAACCCTGGAAGACCAGAGACAAGGTACCTCGAGTGCATGCCGCGAAGGCGCTGCACTGTCGGGTGACCAAGGCGGTGGTGCCAGAGGACAGTCCTGTGCGACAGGGAGCGACACGAGCAAGGGGCCAACAGGTGACCTGACGCAGACGCAGACGCAGCTACCTGAGGGGACTCATTGGTCAGTGTGTACAAGTCCGACCCTGGCTACAGAGTGAAGGTAGCCAGGTGACGACCCGTCCGGGCCACACGTGCAGTGCGTCACACGCTCGTAGGCAGGGGTGAACTGGTGAACACCCGCGTCCTGGAGCGCGGAACCCGCCACCAAGTTCGTAGAGAACGAGGGGAGGTAGAGGCCCGACAGCGTGCCAGATGGGACAGCAGAACAAGGGAGGGCAGTGGTGGAGGTCGCAAGGACCGGACCCCCTGAGGGGTCAGCCAGGGAGACAGCAACCGGTCTAGGAAGCTGCTCTAGGGCAGTGCGGTCGCGAAAGAAACAGCGGGAAGCACCTGAGTCCAGTGTGAAGGTGTGCAGTGCCTCAGTAGGTGCGGTACCAGCAGACGCAGACGCACGAGCACCTAGGGCAGCAGCCTCACCAGGACCTAGAGCAGCAGTCGCACTAGCACCTAGAGCTGCAGCCTCACTGGTCCCAATACCCGGGTCGGGCGGTACACTTAGGTAGCAGTCACCCTCAACACTAATAGTCAATGCATACATAGCAGCAAGGATAGCATCATAATCAAGAGCAAAGATATCAATCCCTTTCTTAAGCAGATCAGCCCAGCGGGGCAGCTCAGAGGCGTCAGGAAACTGCTCGCGCCAGGCGTCGTCGAGGCGAAAAGAAACAGCGCTGCGCCGTGTGAAACCTCCCACAAGTCTGGCCAGTGCGGTCACCTGTGCGGATGACGTACGGGCAGGTACCTCCACCCCTAGACCCCCCACGCTGAGAGTACCACTCACGGAGCTGCTGGGGCGACTGGGGCTCGCTGGGACGCTGCTGCTGCTGCCTCTGGCCACCGCCGAACCCGCCACGCTGCACCGCTCCACCGCGCCCTCCACCAGCTCCACCGCGCCACCACTGCCACCACCACCACCTCCACCTCTACCACCGCCGCCACCACCACCCCCGGCTCCGCCACTGCCCCCCCCACCACCAGCACCACTCCCACCACTGCCGCCACCGCCCCCGCCCCCTCCACCCCCTCCACCACCACCTCCCCCGCCGCCGCCTCCTCCACCCGAGCCCCCCTTGCCCCTGCCGCCCCTGCGCCTCCCACTGGGAGCGAACGCAGCTCCGACCCCCTCAGCACCGAGGTAGTCGACAGCAGCAGCAGATGCAATGGAGGGGAGAAGGGGGGAGGGGGAGCATCCCTCAAAGAAGGGAGTGCGAGGGTCGCCACGAGAGGCACCTACAGCTACAATGCTTCTCTCAGCTGCTAGGAGTTCCTTCTCGAGCAGGTCAGCAGTAAGGTCTGTGGGGGAGAGAGCGAGAAAGTGGTCCCTGACAGCGCGAAGTGAGTCAGGGAGGCGAGTGACCAGGTGGTAGAGGGTGAGGTACATCGGGGGGGGGGGGGGGGGGTTCTTGGCTAGGAAATCAGGGGGGAGTGCGGCACGGTAGCGAAGATCACTAGTACGGAGGTGAGTGATGAGGTCAGCTATAGTGGCAAAGGCAGACAGATCCGGGAAGAGGTAGGGCAGTGATAGACGGCCTATTGCAGCAGTGGCAGGGGAGGAGTAGCGGGCAACTACAGCATCATACAGCTCCTTAGCGGTCTTATGCTGGCCGAAGTGCTCGCGCTCATCTAGCGACAGGTGGCTGCGAACGGCTAGGCGAGCATGGGCGTCACGAGTCTGCCACTGTGAGCGAGCAGTACTGTCAGCAGTAGCAGCAAGTGCGGGAGCAGCGCCGAAAGTGTGGTCATAGAGGGAAACATCGTCCTTGGCAGTGATCTGGAGGTACAGGTGAAGGTCATCGAGCCAGACATCGAACTTAATCGGACGGCCCTCAACGTTAAAGGTAAGTACAGTAGGAGTGGCCATAGTGGCAGTAGCAGTAGTGACAGTAGTAGTAGTAGCAGTAGCAGTAGTAGTAGTAGGGGTAGCAGGAACAGGAGCAGTAGTTGCTGCAGGTGGGGCGGCGCGGCTCGGTCAGGGCGGGGCGATTCGGGCGGCGCGACTCGGGCGGCGCGGCTCGGGCAAGGCGACGCGGCGCGGCTCGGACTAGCCTACACGGCACGGCACGACGGTGGGCCTGTGCGCGGGCGGCTGTAGCGGGCGGTCCGCGGCTGTGCGTGGGCTGCAGTCGCGCGCGGGCGGCGGCTTACGAGGGCGATGCGACCTACGGGCGGGGCTGCGGGCCGCTAGCGGGCTACGCGCGGCTAGAAGGGCTGGTGTCGACGGGCGGCTAGCGGGCTGCTCGTGGCGGCGTGGGCGGCTAACGGTCGGCGCGCGCGCGCAGAAACGGCCGGCGCGCGGGCTGCTAGAGGGCGACGCGCGCTAAAAAAAAAAAGCCCGTGCGCGGCACTAGCGAGCTGCGCACGCACAGGGCAGCAGGAGAAGGAGAGGCGCACGAGGGCGCACTAGGAGAGCGGCGCTCGAGGGCGCTAAGTCGATACGGCGCTCGAGGGCGCTTCTAACGGTGGGCCCTTATGGAAGTCCTAGGTCTAGAACCTAAGCTCTTAATACCATGTCAGAAACAAGAAGTGATTGAACTAGGAACATTGGTGGTACAAGTAGGAAACCCTAGAATAGTGTACCCCCTAAAGGCTAACCCACTGTAGCCTACACAGCAATAACATATATGATGTTTGACACAACTATTGGCGGAACCTGTGGCAGCAGTTCGGCATGCGACTGCAGTTTAGTTCTTTGTACCACCCTGAAACTGACGCACAAACAGAACAGACAAATCAGACCATGGAGCAACTCATCCGAGCCACGTGCGATGACCCGAACACTTGGGAACAGCAACTGCCACTCATGGAGTTCGCATACAACAACTCGCCATACGCCACGACCCAACAATAACTGTTTTACCTGAACTACGGACAAGACCTCATAGTCTCGATGACCCCGAATCCCGACAACCCAGTACCACACGCGCAATAGTTCGCAGAAATTTTACACGCAGCACGGACTTGAGCAGCTGACGCAATATAAAAAATCAAACATCATCGCTAAGCGCAACGCCGACCGCCACCGCCGCCCTGTTACTTATCAACCCGATGACCTAAAACTGCTCGACACTCAAAACCTCCGCCTACCTATCACTCCAAAACTCCGCCCCCGATATTGCGGGCCATTTCAGCCTGCTTTGCCCATACGTACCATCCACTAGCCAACTGCCTCACAATCGCCCTGCCAGCATGACACGCCCGCCAACAGAGCCAACCATCACGCCCAAGAAGATTTGGAGCCACCGAGTTCGTGACCGACGGGGAGCTCGCAGGATCGAATTCCATGTGCAAACTCCATGTGCTTACGAGCTTCGCAAGGCTCACGCGGGCTTGGTGCGGCCCTATTTCTCTCCATGCCATGCATTGATTGAGCGGCGCCATCACTGGTTGCGCCTAAGCGCTGTCCCACGCTGCCGTGTTGTGACGGTGTACCGGAAAAATGACGATTGGTTCATCTGTTGGTGCAGGTGCATTGGCGGGTCTCTGTGTTGGTGCAACTGCGTTCGTCGCCGATTGCCGGCGGCCGGCGTCAAGTTCCGCCGTGAGCGTCACGACTTCAAGTGCCGAATTTTCGAGTTGGCTCATGAGGCGTTCGAGTCGTTCCTGCGTCAGCGTCGCGAGAGTAAATTCAGCCACGACCGGGGTGTCGGGCAAGCTCAGAGAGAGCCTCTGTCGTGGCCGTGCGTGCTTACGAGAGAGCACTTTGAGCGGCGGTGCTTGTTCGCTGAGAGACGTCTACCCCCTCCAAAAATTGAGATAGTGGGGAAACGAAGGTGTGGGTGCGGTCCGAGAGGAGATCGTAGGCTCTAAATACCAAGTGTTACGAGTGCAATTGAGTGAGCGAGCGAGAATTGCACTATCGAAGCAAAGGTACAATGAGCAAAGGCATGAGCGAAGAATATATAGCGAAACTACAGTGGCAATGGTAATGTGTGAAAATGGGGTGCACAACGGGCCTAGCGCTGAGGTTGGGAAAATGTCGAGGCGGAGGTCCGGAGCGCGGGTTACCAACCGAACCGTGAGGTTGGGTCGCGTCGTGAACAGTGGCGGGA